GTATTTCAAGGCATCTGCTTCGAGGGAGGCCATTAAAATTTCCTTGGGCAAAGCTGGATTAATCTTTTCAGATGGTGGTGGAAGGGCTGCTTCTACTGGCAAAGAAGACTTAGAAGAATTTAAGGGTTCAATGTCCCAGCTTCATCAGGAATGCCCATATGTCCCCATTCTAATTTTCAGGATCCTATTTGTTCTCAGTTAATGGCCTCCCTTTAACATCAGACACCCTGCAAGTTGGGAATTTCATTTCCGTTGCAGGTCTGGTTTTCAGAGATGTTTACTCTGTGGCTATAGGAGATAAGGTTTTCTTTCTGGGCACGCGTAGCAACTTTTAGGTCATTTATGCAGCACTTGAGCTGGGAATTTGAAGCCCTGAGCTCATCCTTTTCTTTCCACATTTTGTCCAGTAAAATTAGGAGCAACCAGCCAATGTCATTATGCTTGTCAGTTCGATAGAAGTGTTCTAAGGTATCAAATACATGGTCACCTAGAACATTATTTCTTCTAAGTATTTGGTTAGGAGTAACTAATGGTGTATTTTGCGCATCTCTATTGCTACATCACACCCAGTGCCCTCTTTACTGTTGGAAATAAATTTGCTGGGCCTTTAAATTTAATTAGGTTAGAGAACTAATTTCAGAAACCCTGAAACCAATTCAGAAAACTCATTCTTAAGATTCTATGCCTCTAGAACCACTCCTGATATCAAAATCTGTGTTTGTCAGAATTATTCAGAGAAATAAAATCAACAGGATATCTACCTACCTACTATCTACCTACCTACCTACCTACATACTCACCCATGCACCCACCCACCAGTCCATCCATCCATCCATCCATTCATCCATATATCTATCTATCTGAAAGAGATAGATTTATTTACTTTAAGGAATTAACTCATGTTATTGTGGAGGCTGGCAAGTCCAGTATCCATCAGCCAGGCGGGCTGGAAACTCTGGCAGTGTTAAATTTTAAATCTGTAGGTCAGGCAGGATATCTACGTTAAAGCCTTGAGGAAGAATCGTTTTCTCCTCAGGAAACCTCAGCTTTTGCTCTTAAAGGTCTTCAACTGATTGGATAAGGCCTACCCACATTATGGAGGGTAACCTGATTTCCTTAACATCGACTAATTATAAATGCTAATCATATCTACACACCTTCACAGCAGCATCTAGACTAGTGTTTGATCAAACAACTGGGCACCATAGCCTAGCTAAGTTGACACATAAAACTAACCATCACACCATGCTAGCTCAGCCTTCCAGGGGCATGCGTTTGAGCAAAAAAAGATATTCTTTTATGTTCCTGTGTGGCTTATTTTCCTTCCCACTTAGACCATAATATCTTTAAAGTCAGAGACCATGTTATGTATTTCTCTAATACATCCTATAGCTAGATCTAGTATAACGTTGAGCACATAGTAGACCCTCAATAAAGAGTCACTGATTGATTGAAACTCATAAACATTTCTTAGAGAAGATGAAGGGAAGATATCATTTTAAGACAGGGGAAGTTATTATTTTTTTTTTTTTTTAAATCTTTGTTCTACAACCCCAATACTGGAGGCTGTTATTACTTTAATTCTTCAGAGTGCTTGGTAGCAAAGCATTTTTGATGCTTAGCAATTATGATGGTTAGTTTTATATGTCAACTTGGCTAGGCTGTAGTACCCAATTATTTAATCAAATACTAATCTAGGCTAGGTGTTGCTGTGAAGTTAAGTAGATTTGGTTAATATTTACAATCAGTTGACTTTAAGTAAAGAGATTATCTTTGATAATGTCGGTGGACCTCATTCATCCAATCAGTTAAAGGTCTTAAGAGGAAAAACTGAGGTTTCCCAGAGAAGAAGAAATTCTGCCTCAAGACTGCTGCATAAAATCCTGCCTGAGTTCCCAGTCTGTTGGTCTGCCCTACAGAATTTGGACTTGTCAATCCCCACAATGTGTTAGCTGATTCCTTAAACATCCATCAATCAATCCCTCTCTCTCTTTCTGTCACCTACATATCTACTATTGGTTCTGTTTCTCTGGAGAACGCTGACTGATTCAGCCATACTTTCACATTTTTCTTTTCTTCCCATGGTTTCTGCATTGGAAAAGGTTGGCGGCTCATACTTCAATTCCCTGTTAGCTTTCTAGAATTTTGTGGGTATTTAAAAAATGCATGCAGAACCTGTGGCAGACACTGTGATGCGTTGTACAGACTCCCCTTCAAGAAAGGATTTATTGCCCTGGTTTTTAGGGAGTGCTGTTGGCATCAGCCTTCAGCTGTCAGCCCGCATCCAATGACTGATCAGTGCACGGTATGCTCAGGACAACTCTAAAGGGCCATTCTTGCTTCAGAGCTGCCTATGGAGTTGGTTGAGGTTGTGCTTGAGCCTGCATCCGGGCTCTGACTTCTTCTTCTGCCAAATCCTGCTTCTATTTTTTTCTTTCCTCGGATGTTGAACCCAAGGGATCTCCTAAACAAATATTCTCCACGTTAAACTCTTACACTCAGCTTCTCAGGGCTCCTAACCTGAGACATAGTCTATTGGTTGGAAAGGAAAGGGGCTTAGTTGGTTCCTGTGAAAAGGTGAACACACTATGAACCCTCAAAAACAGTTGCATAAATGTTTTAGAAAGTGTTTGGCTGTGCTCTCTTAAAGCTGACTGTGTATTAGATGGAGAATGTTCAGATGTGTCTTGTGGCTTGGCTAAGCATCATTTATGTCTCCCGCACCCTGAGGAGGAGTCTCTGGGTGGCGCAAATGGTTAAATGCTTGATTATTAGCTGAGAGGTTGGCGGTTCAAACCCACCCAGAGACACCTCGGAAGACCGGCCTGGCAATCCGCTTCTGAAAGTTCACAGCCTTGAAAACCCTACGGAGCAGTTCTACTCAGCACACCCAGGATTGCCATGGATCAGAACTGACTTGATGGGAAGTGACGACAACACCCTGAGGCTGATCTAAAGGGCAGCAGCATAGCTGGAGGAGGGCTCCTCAGGGCCCCACAGGCCTTCTCAGGGTTTCCTCTTGTCTTAGGTTCCTAATGCTGCTGTCACACAAATACCACAAGTAGATGGCTTTAAAGAAGAGAAATTCATGTTCTCAAAGTTCGGGAGGCTAGAAGTCTGAATTCAGGGCACTGCTATAGGGAAAGGCTGTCTCTCTCTCCATTCTAGGGGAAGATCTTTGTCTCTCTCAGCTTCTGTAGTACCCCCACCACCCCCCGACAAAGTTCTTGGGTTCCTTGGTGACAGTCATGTGACATCTATCATCTTCCGGTTTGTGCTTGCTTCCTTGTCTAATCTGCTCTTTTTAGGACTCAGAAGTGATTAGTTTAGGACACATCCTACACTGATATAGCCTCATTAACATAACAAAGAAAACCCTATTCCCCAACGGGATTACATTCACGTATATGGGGTTAGGATTCCAACACATATTCTGGGGGGACACAGGCAATCTGTAATACCTCCATAGCTGCATCTATTTCTAATATTTTCCCTTCTCCTTAAAACGGGTAGACAGTTTATTTGCTTTTGTAGTAATGTGTGCGATTTTGATCATTTGCAATCCAAGGAATGGGCAGGTAACACATCATTACAGCCCTCAGGTTTGCTCCTAATGCTACTGGGAATCTCTGACTTCTGCTCATGTTCACGACAAGACAGTTCTTTCATTTTTACCCAGGACCCCTGGTGGCATAGTGGTTAAGAGCTCATTGCTAGCCAAAAGGTCGGCAGTTTGAATCCACCAGCTGCTTCTTGGAAACCCTATGGGGCCAGTTCTACTCTGTCCTACAGGGCTGCTATGAGTTGGAATCGACTTGATGGCAATGGATTTGGCTTGGGTTGGTCAAGCCCGGTTCTGAGGATCTTAGGTAGTCATTGGTTGATTCCTTGAATCTTCCTTTCTTCTCTGGAACTAGGAGCCCAGGCTTTCCTCTAATTAGCATCAGTTTGGCTGTGATGTCACAGTGGCAGGCAAGGGGCTCCATTTGCTCCTGTAAGTGTCCTGTCACTTAGATAAATTCCAGGGCATGCCTTGGCTCGAGGCCTTCCTCCAGAGTTTTCTCAGCAGGACTCATTTGATATATTGCCTCAGCAAATCCCATCAGCCCTGCCTGAGTTGGAACTGTGGGTGAAGATAGTTTATAGGGGCAATAACAACAGAAATGTCCTCTCTGCCCACAGGCAAATAATTTCCTCTCTGCTCCAGTCCAATACCATTTCCTTTAATCTTTTTAATGTCTAGGAAACTGCTGCTTCTTCTGTTCTTAAAGCCAGCTTTCTCCCCTGAAGGTTAATAATACCGAATAGAAAGTAGGCCTGTCGCTTTTGCTCCTCTAGGCAGGCATCCCATTTACTTGAGGTTCATTTGTCATCGTATTAAAATGGCTTAGAGTTGAAATACACGGTTCTTATGCCCTGGTGGTCAGCAGACATTTAAGCCTGGTCTGGATTCAGTTAAAGTCCCCCGTTGCCTCATCAAATGGTCCACTGTGGCCAGTGATTCCTTTAAGACAGAGCCAAGTTGGCCACCCGAGTCTTGCTGAGTGTCTTGCCCGCCGGACATGGCTGCGGATGACCCACTGGCTTACTCACTTGACTCATGCCCCTGCTGGGCTCCCAGACCTCAGTCCCTGTTGGTGCTGACTCAGCTGGGTTCCTGCTTTGTCGGTGTTTCCCCCACCTTTCCTGCCAGGTTTGTCTCTTCCCTTTCTTCCTACATGGAGTTTCCTGTTACTTCCACCCTTCATTGTTGCGGTTGTTAGTTGCTGTGGGGTCAGTTCTGACTGATGGCGACCTTAAGTGTAACAGAACGAAACATTGCCTGGTCCTGCGCCATCTTTACGATTGTTGGTATGTGTGAGTCCATTGTGGTGACCATTATGTCAATCCGACTTGTTTTTATTGACCCTCTACTTCAGCAAATATGATGTCTCTTCGTTAATTGCCCTAAAAAAGACTTTGCTTCAGTTTTCAGACCTGACACCAGGCAGCTGGCATCTTCATCTCTGAGGGCTGCCCTGTCTAGGGGAAGGAGGTGCTAGAGCTGGACCGGGTAAGGACCTTCCGAAATCTTTAGTGACTTACCGTAAGTAGATTCTACTTCTCTTCACTATTTATCCAGTGCCTCTGCTCTAATTTTAAGAAGTCTACTTTTCTGTTTAAAACAGTTTCTGAATTTACTAGAGAAAACTTACAGTTCTGCCATACCTGTCCAATAATCTTGTTATTTCTCAATTGTCTTCTTGGATGAAGATGGGTTGTACTCTGCTACCAACACTTGTGATGGAAAGGACCTGGGCACCTCAATAGGATGTCCTCTGCCGGCAACCAACCCCCTCCCTATCCCCAAGAGTCTACTATTTCTACTGTTTTTTCTTTCCTGAGTCATTTTCTTAACACTTTATTAGATGTATTTATGTATGTGCGTGCAGACACACATGCCCACACACATTTGCCCCTCTATTCTCTAAGAACAGAGAATTTATAATGAACAGGATTTTTTTTTTTTTTTTGGTAAATTAAAGGTAATCATTTATATGGTACATGGCTAACTAGAACATAAAAATTTAAAGATTATTTTTACTATTTACCATTTTTCCTCCCCTACTACATTTTTACAAGATTGGTTAGTTTCATTCACAAAGAAGGTATGTGTTGGTGAGATTCTTAAATTAATTAAATTGCCTTTTTGGTTATCCTTTTTATATTCGCTATTAATGTCTGGATTCAAATGCTGTCAGGAGTTTATGGAGGTTTAAAAAAGAAATACTCAGAAGGTCTGTTTCAAAAGAGAATGGGGCTGGAAGAAAAGCACCTCTGATCCCTTCCAGCTGTGCGGTCCGATCAGTGTTGCTTTGGTCCAGTCTCTTTGGTTCTCTGGGCCTTAGTTCATTTATGAACAAAACTAGCATTTTGTACTGGATGACTCTGACATTCCTTTTCAGGTCTAACATTCTCTGTCTCTGTACTGATGACTAACATTTTGAAATTTGAGGTTAGGTATTTCAAATCACATTCGAACGTGCCATTTTGAAACACATTACAATTCCTTTTGTTTAGAAATATTTTTCCTGCACCCTACTTGTAGAATTGCTTGAGAACAGAGCCCTTAAATGAAACTCAGATGGGAGAGGAGAAGGGGAAGGGAGAAATGGAATAATTCAGTGATTTCTAATAACTGCCTGATTACTTCACAGATTGTAAGCAGCTTCCCTCCAGTGGGCCCTGAATGCTGGGAAAAGAAAAGCAATAGAAGAGTTAAGCTACATATTGAGTAGAACTTCCTGGTTCTAAAGTGTTTTGAGTTTCTTGATCCTTTCCACTGCAATGACCTCATTGCCAAGGATTTCTGCACCTGAAATGATAACTGTGTGACTTTGACCTTTAATCCTCAGAATCTTTTCTTAATAATATATTTGGTAGAGTATTATACACATGCATGTACATATATGTGCGTATGTATATATGTGTGTGGAGCCCTGGCAGTGCAGTGGTTAAGAGCCACAGCTACCAACCAAAAGGTTGGCAGTTGGAACCCACCAACTACTCCTTGGAAACCCTGTGAGGCAATTCTACTCTGTCCTATAAGGTCGCTATGAGTCGGAATCAACTCGATGACAATGGATTTTTTGGTTTATGTGTGTGTGTGCACACGCACATTATATATCTCTGTTTCGCTAGCTCAGTTACTGTAAGTACAACATTCCATTATTTATTCTAGTTGGAAATAAAAAGCTTTCTGCAGAACAGAGAGTTGGCTCCTATAGACCTTTATTTTCCATATCACATTCTTCTTCCACACTTGCTTCTAATCTGGATCCAGGTATATTTTTCTTTTTGAACTTCTGACAACTGAGAACATTTGCTTTTTTCTGTGTTATCTCTTTAAACCTTATGATCCGGTTGGGAAGGCCTACCTGACACATCGAGTGATCATTAATTCCCTTAATATGCCCTTCCATGAAGCGGTCTCTCTCTTCCAGACACTTTCTATCTGTCTGGACATGTTTCTTTCAACAGCTGTCTAGAGCTTTTAAGGATTTCCTTTTTATACCTGATTTATGTCTGCCCGCTACTGTACTCTTTGTGACTGCCCACAGCGGTCTTTTCTCTTTATTCCCACGCTCCCACTTCACCCCTAGCCCTCGGCCCTCTGTCCCCAAGCTTATGTCTTGGTCTGCAGCTCAATTCACATTTTCTCGCCTCACTGACTTCTCAGTCCTTCAATCATAATTTTAACATTTTTAAATATCACATTTATAATTAATGTCATTTCCACCTAACGCTGAAGGTGGTAGTGGTGGTGTTGTTGGTTGCCATAGAGTTGATTGCGACTCATGGTGACCCCATGTGTGCAGAGCAGAACTGCTCCACAGGGTCTTCAATTCTGTGACCATTTGGAAACAGATCACCCGGCCTTCTTCCCAGGTGCCTCTGGGTGGGTTCAAACTGCCAACCTTTTGGCTAGTAGACAAGAGTTTAACCATTTGGGCATTTAACCCAGGGACTCCCCCAAAAGTGTACAATAATATTTTGGTTGTATATGTATATATTTTAGGAAGAGATATTTCTTCCATGGACTCTGGAAGAACAAACTTTTCTCCAGTATGGAAGGACTGATTATCTAAATGAGATAATGTTTTTCCAAGACACTCGCTTAGAGTTGGACATCTAAAAGCTACTCTCTTAAATAGTAGTTCCCTTTCTTCCTCATTGTGGAATTTTCATAAACCACACCTGGTGAATGGTGGAAGACTCTTTGCTCAAGAAGGTGTTCTTTCCTAAATCTCTCATATTATACTGTTGGTGTCAATTCTGCTTATTTTCCAGGCCAGTAAAGGTACAGTGTGAATTATTTAGTAATCTTTCAGCTGCATGTGATAGAAACCAAATTCAAGCTATATTAAGCAAAAAGAAGCATGGGAAGGTAATACAGGATCTCTAGGTCGAGGATCCCCACACATCTGTCAGTTTGTTGTACTGTGGTGGCTTGAGTGTTGCTGTGATGCTGGAAGCTATGCCATCGATATTTCAAATACCAGCAAGGTCACCCATGGTGGATGGGTTTCAGTGGAGCTTCTAGATTAAGATAGACTAGGAAGGAGGACCTCGATGGTCTACTTCTGAAAAAATTGGCCATGAAAACCTTATGAATAGCACCAGAAGATCGTCTAGTATAGTGCTGGAAGAAGAGCATCTCAGGTTGAAAGGCACTCAAAATATGATTGAGAAAGAGCTGCCTCCTCAAAGTAGAGTGGACCTTTATGATGTGGATGTAGTCAAGCTTTTGGGATCTTCATTTGCTGAGGTGACATGACTCAAAATGAGAAGAAACAGTGGCAAACATCCATTAATAATGGAACATGGAATGTAGGAAATATGAATCTAGGAAAATTGGAAGTCATCAGAAATGAAATGGACCACTTAGAGATTGATATCCCAGGCATTAGTGAGCTGAAATGGACTGTTTTTGGCCATTTTGAATCAGACAATCATGCGGTCTACTATGCTGGGAATGACAAAGTGAAGAGGAATCGCATTGCATTCATTGTCAAAAAGAACATTTCAAGATCTGTCCTGAAGTACAATCCTAGGATAATATCCATATGCCTACAAAGAAGATCAGTTAATACAACTATTATTCAAATTTATGCAACAAACACTAATGCAAAAGATAAGGAAACTGAAGATTTTTACCAACTTCTGCAGTCTGAAATTGATCAAACATGTAATCAAGATGCATTGATAATTACTGGTGATTGGAATGTGAAAGTTGGAAGCAAAGAAGAAGGATCAGTAGTTGGAAAATATGGCCTTTGTGATAGAAACAATGCTGGAGATTGCATGATAGAGTTTTGCAAGGCCAATGACTTCTTCACTGCAAATATCTTTTTCTCGACAGCATAAATGGCAACTATACATGTGGACTTCGCCAGATGGAATACACAGGAATCAAATTGAACATAAAGATTACAGCCTTGGAAACCATACTGGGCAGTTCTGCTCTGCCCTGTAGGGTCGGTATGAGTCGGAATTGACACAAAAGCACACAACAGCAATACAAGTAAAGCACAAATTCCTTTCTTTTGCTCCTTTCACAAATTGTTCTTCTGTTCTCCTTATAGTAAGGGCACCATAAAAAGTCAAGAGGATAAATCTTTCCAGAATTAATAAAGAATCATTTGTTAGGATGAAGACCTAAAGATCCTGATGGATAAAATGAGTTGGAGGCAAGGATTCCATTTAATAGAGAGTACAGAAGCAGAGCTGCTGTGCAAATTGTTTTCAAGGAGATGAAGACATCAACTCTCTACACGGCAATTTATAACTTCTCTTGCTGCAGGAAAATGGGGAGCAATGAGCTTTCAAGAGCTGAAAATAAAAGATCCTGGAATCTCAGCAGAGTAAGAAATAGCTTTGTTTTCCCTTCTTTTCTCTCTTCCTATTTTCCCTCTTGCTCCAGTCTTTCCTGTCTCCCTTCTTTCCTTTTCCTTCCTCCCTCCCTTCCTCCTTCCCTTCCTTCCTTTTTTCCTTCCTTCCTTTTCTCTTTCCTTCCTTCCTCCCTCCCTCTCCTACCCTCTTTTTCTTTGTTTCTTTCTACATACATTGAACACCTACTATGTGTCAGGCACTAGGTTGAATTCCAAGATGAAGAGACGACCAGGTCCTTGCACCTATGGAGTTTATGGCAATAGCTTGAAGGTGGGGGTGGGGGTGGGGTACGGGGAGCAAGGACAAGAGATCAACCTAAGAAGTGCAGATAGAACATGGTGATAAAAGCTTTGATGTAGATACACCCAGATGTAAGTACATCTAGGGTGTTATTCCCCTAGCATGCGGACAAGCCTCAGAATCAAACTGTGGGGAGAGGGGACATTTCCCCAAATTGGATTTTGAGATTAGATCTCAGTTTTAAAGAATGAACAGTAATCTACTAGCTGATAAAACATAGAAAGACATTCTAGACAGAGAAAACAGTAATGTTGATACACTGAGGATACAGCAACAAGGCATGCTTAATCCCATTGATGTTGAGTCAGTTCCAATTCATAGCCACCCTATAGGATGGAGTAGAACTGCTCCACA